GCGCGGGCTGGCAAACCCTGTTCCAAAGGCGCAGACGGCAACAACGGCCTCCCAAACTTCCCCCGCGGGACCAGGCTTGCCGCGCGGGAACAGCAGCATCCTGGGTTCACGGACTACGATGAGCATGGTAGCTAGAAAAGTGGTGGCCCAGCCGGAGCTGAGCGGGCCCCCGCCCGCGCGCCCGAGGCGCGGCTTTCCCCAAGATGGCCCGCAGGTGCTCCATGGATGGCCGTCCGGCGCGCCTCTGGCAGCGACATGCGCCGCAACTCCGGCAGGCGGGCCAGCGTCGCGGCGCGCCAGGCGGGGCGGAGTCCTCCTTGCGTCGACACCTGCGCGACGCGCCAGGGCTCGGCGGTTCTGGGGGGAGCTGCTCTCCCGGGCAGATTCGGCGTCGTCAGACGCGGGTTGAAAACTGGCCAGGTGCACCAGGACAGCCCTGGCGGCTGCGCACACGAAGATGGTCGGATCATGGCCATGCCCCTGGTCGCGCAGTATCCCGCCGCAGCTGAACGGCCCCCTGGAATGCTCCGCCAGGTCCTGCGGCGCGCCCCCGGGCCCGCACGCGCGCGGGCGCGCGCTCGCGAGAGCAGGGCCCATCTGCAGCAGCTCGACCCATCGGCAGCTCGGCGCCTCCGCCAAGCGGTTCCAATCATGGTCCTCAGACAGCGGCGAGTCGACCAGAAAAGAGAAGCCGAGCCGCTGCGGGTCGCGCGTTTTGGCCGGCCTTTCCTCTCTGGCCTTCTGCTCTGCGGCCGTCGCGAGCACGGCCGTGCCCCGCGGGGGAGTTTCATCTCAAACAACGTCGCCCAGGAGCGCGCTGGGCTCGAAGGTCTGGTCGCCCACAATGCGCGGGCGTTCGCCGGCCAGTTCCGAGTCGGCGGGCAGGGCCCAGATGCCAACCTCAAGGCCCCACCGCGCCAGCAAGTTGAGCTGGGATTCGGTCGCGGCGCTGAACATCTTGCTGTTGCCCACGATGGCGGCCCTGACTTGCCCCGCCTGGAAGCCACGTCGGGCCTGCGTCGGTCGTCAATGAAGCCCCGGGCGCAGCCGCCGTAGGCCCACGCGGCCCCGATCATGACCAAGCCCGCTTCATCTCCCTGGCCACAATCGATGGCGCAGATTTCGATCGGACCTTCCTGGAACAGGGTTACCGTTTCCAGCCCTGAGAAACACAATCCAAAGCCGTTGCCCTGGGGTTTCTAGGATCAGCGGATCTGATCCGGGTTTTTTTTGATGCTCAAATCTGATCCAAACCCTCGGATCTGATCCGGAGGCGTGCGGAGCCTTGGATCTGATCCAGGCGCGTGGATCTGATCCACGCGCCTGGATCTGATCCGAGCCCCGTCTCATCCATGTATACTCATACACACACGCATACATACACGTGTGTGTGGCTATCATTATATATGTGCATATATGTATACACCATATATGAAATATGGTATATGTATCATATACGATGCAAATCATAAGGTTGTATATACTTACATACATATATATGTGTGTACGTGTGGTTATATGTACATATAAATATACATACATACATATATATGTGTATATACATGTATATATATCATATATATACGTATATATGTGTATACAAATATACATGTCTAATTGTATGCATGCGTGTATATGTGTATGCATGTACATGTACATGCAAACACATATATAGGAAGATGCATAGATACGTGCTTATATGTATATATAGGTGTATATATACACATCAGAGTACAAGGGTGGAACGGTCTTACAGCGTCTAGAGCTCTGGGCGTGTGGCTGAAGTGGCGTTTTGTTGAGCGGAATAGTGTTGTTGTTGTTGTTGTTGTTGTTGTTGTTGTTGTTGTTGTTGTGGCCGCCCCTCTCGAAAACGTTTCGGATCCCAGGGCCCCGCCGCCCGCCCCTCACTCTTCTCGGTGACATACTGCGCTGGCTTATGCTTATATGCCCCGCTACCTTGCTCGCGACCTGCCCAGTGACCCGCCCTCGACCCTGTTCATTCACGCGTCGCCATCACCACCATCAGGAGGAGTGGAGCGGAGGATGTATTTATGAGGCCACACAACAGCATGTGTCTTTCTCGGGGAGATATCCCTGGGGGCTTCGCGCCCCCCCTAGGGACCCCGCATTTTACGGAGGGGGCGGACGGAGATGGTGGACGTCTCATCTGGGGCCCAGGAGGGTCAACGGCTACTGCCGCTGCTGCTGATTATGCTGCCCCTCCTCAAAGCCATTGTGGTTTCGAGCTTTCCAAATATGTTGTGGGCGCTCTCCCTCGTCATTTCCATATTTTCCATAACAATTTGGATGCCTGCATGCGATGCAGCAGCGGTGGCGGCCATCTCGGCCGCGCTGGGGTCCAGTGCGCTGGTTGCGTACCGCGAGGACACCCCATCCTTGCTTCTCCTCCCCCTCCACCTCCTCCTCTCGACCACCCCTCCTCCGCAGGAGCTCACCGGCCCCAGAGACGTGGCGAAGCTCGAGCGCTACGTCGACCTGGTGGTCGCGGCGCCACAGGAGGGTAAGGAGAGAGGAAAGGGAACTCCCTCTCCTCTCCCCCTTCGCCTAGGCGAAGGGGGATGATGATGATGATGATGATGATGATGAGGAGGAGGAGGAGGAGGAGGAGGAGGAGGCGGAGGAGGAGACGGAGGAGAAGGAGAGAAAGACAACCAGGGAGAGGAGGAGGAGGAGGAGGAGGAGGAGGAGGAGGAGGAGGAAGCAGGAGGGGGGAGGAGGAGAAGCAAGAGGAGCAGGAGAGCGCCGCAGGAGAGCCAGAAAGCGCTGGCGAAGATGTTCGAGCAGGTCGCGTCCGACCGCGAGGCGGACTGGGCGCTGGGGCCCGAGAAGATCGCCTGGAGCGAGAAGATGAGCAAGAGGTGCAGGGCCATGCGCAGGGACGTGAACCAGGCCATCATCAAGGCCAAGAAACAGCAGACGGAGAAGGGCACGGAGCTGCCGAAGTGGCTGGTGCCCTTCATCGAGAAGCTCGAGGCGGGCGTGAGAACGGGGTAGAGGAGGCGGAGGGGGAGGAGGGTGAGGAGGAGACGTGGAGGGAGGAGGCGGACAAAGGAAGAAAAACCAGGAGGGAGTGAATGATAAACTGAGACGAACCTTAAACTCTGAGAGCTCAACGGGGCTCAATTGGGACTGCTTGATGTCCCGTTAAGCCCCGATGAGCTCTCAGGGTTTGAGGGTCGTCGATCAGCTGCAGGCGAACGACTGCGCGGAGCACGACACCAGCCAGTATGAGTTCAAGCACGTGCTGTCGGAGCAGGTCTTCCTCCTCCTTCTCCTCCTCCTCCACCACCTCCTTCTCCTGCTCCTGATCATCCCCTCCACATGAGCAGACGAGAGAGTTATAGGAAAACCAGGAGTTCATGATCCAGGCGCCCTGGGGCCGATATTCAAACACGAGAGGGATATGGGTGGACGAACTCGTCACGGAGTCCGAGGTGGAAGAGGAGGTCCTCCTTCTCTTGATCCTCCTCCTCCTCCTCCCTCTTCATCCGCCTCCTCCTCCCTCCTCCTCCCCCTCTCCCTCCTCGTCCTCCTCCCACCTTCCTCCCTCATCCGTCCTCACTCGACCTTCGACTCATCCGTCCCTCGTGGTACTCCTATTCCTCCACCGGTCACCTCCTGCTCCTGCTCCTCCTCCTCCTCCTCCTCCTCCTCCTCCTCCTCCTCCCCCTCCTCCTCCTTTTCACACTCTTCTCAGAGGTCGTCTACAGGATGAAACGTGGGACGACGAAGAAGGAGCAGAGCCTCCCCTTGCAGGCCGAGGGCGACGAGGATCCTGATGACAACGTCATCGCGAAGTGGTCCGACGGAATGACGATCGAAGTTCAGAACTACACGTACAAGATGTTGGAATGGTACCTTCAGCAGCAGTCCCGCAGCAAGGCCAACGCGTACGGGTCTTGCACCATCAAGAGCATCGGCAGCGACGACTCGAAGGACGGTGCAGGCTGGAGGCTGGTAACATGCTCCGAGAAGCGCAAGCTCGCTGACAAGACCGAGGCCGTATCGAACATGCTGCGCATCTTCCGCACGTGCAAGGGCAAATCCAGCGCGAAGCTCCAGGTGACGGTGACGGGCTTCGAGGAGAGGGATCTGGAAAAGGCGCGCCCTCGGGAGGAAAAGGAGGAGGACGAGGACGAAGGAAAGAAGGAGGAAAAGAAGGAAGAAAAGAAGGGAGAGGGGGAGGGCGAGGAGGAGGACGAGGGGAAGGAAGAGGGGGGAGGACAACGATGGCGACGAGGGAGTGAGAGGATTTGGGAGTGTTGGGGAGGGCGGAAACCCCCCGTCCTCCTCATCAGTCCACGCTCCTCCTCGCTCTTCTCTTCCTCCTCCTCCTCCTCCTCCTCCTCCTCCTCCTCCTCCTCCTCCTCCTCCTCCTCCTCCTCCTCCTCCTCCTTCCTCGTTGAGCCCGAAGGCCAAGACGGGCATGGCCGCCATGCTGGAGCGGATGGCGATCGACGGCTTGAGCAAGGATGAGGCGGAGAACCTCAAGTGGGAGTTCATGCCAGACGGGGTGAGCAAGAAGCGACCTGCTAAGCGGCCCGCAGCGGCTAGCGGAGACGGCGGAGATGATGAGGTGGATGATGATGATGAAAATGATGAGGAGGCGGAGGAGGAAGAGCAACCCGATGGTGAACATGAAGAACATGAAGACGAAGACGAAGAGTCCGAGAGCAACGTCCGCAAGAAGCCAGCAGCAGCAGAGGAATCGGCACCAGGTAAGGAGATGCGCCGCCCTGCGGCGGCGGCGGCGGCGGGCGACTACGCCGAGGAAGAGGAGGAAGAGGACGAGGAGGCGGCTGTGCCAGCGAAGCGCCGCCCTGCAGCAGCTGGCGCATCGGACACATCGGCACCAGAGGAGGCGGCTGCGCCAGTGAAGCGCCGCCCTGCAGCAGCGGGCGCAGCGGACAGGTCGGCGCCAGAGGAGGCGGCTACGCCAGAGAGGCGCCGCCCTACGGCAGCGGGCGCAGCACCGGCAGCACCGGCAGCGCCAGGGGAGGCGGCGGGCGCAGCACGGGCGGCTGCGCCAGAGGAGGCGGCGGACGCAGCACCGGCGGCACCAGCAGCGAAGCGCCGTCGGTCGGCGAAGTTCAAGGAGGAGGCGGCGGCAACGCAGGAGGCGGCGGCGGGAGCGGCCCAGGCGCTGACCACCGCGACGGACAGCATGGACGAGGGGCCGCCAGATGGAATGCAGCGGCCCCAGCAGGTTCAGGGGCCATGAAACTCTGGGAGCCCGAGGGGGGCTCAACGTTGAGACGTTGAACTCCCATTGAGCCGCGTTGAGCCCTCCTGGGGCTCAACGCTGATGCGTTGAGCTCCCATTGAGCTGCGTTGAGCCTTCCTCCTCGTGCTCAATTCTAAAAGCTCAATGGGGCCCAACAGGGGCTCAACGCTGATGCGTTGAGCTCCCATTGAGCTGCGTTGAGCCCTCCTCCTCGTGCTCAATTCTGAGAGCTCAATGGGGCCCAACGGGGGCTCACCGCTGCTGCGTTGAGCTCCCATTGAGCTGCGTTGAGCCCTCCTCGTGCTCAGTTCTGATAGTTCAATGGAGCCCAACGGAAGCTCAACGCTGATCATGCGTTGAGCTCCCATTGAGCCGCGTTGAGCCCTCCTCGCGCTCACCAAGGGGGCTGAAACCCTGAGGGCTCAATGGAGCCCAGCGGGGGCTCACCGTTGAGACGTTGGAACCCCATTGAGCCCTCAAACCCTTTTGGAGTGTCCACCTCCTGTCCTCGCCACCTTCCCCTCGACAGGTCGACTTGACGGGCTGCGACCTGAGCGCGTTCGGCCTGGCGTTCCCCGAGGTTCCAGAGCCTGCCCCGAACCTTTAATTCTGGGCCAAGAGGGCCCGTCGCGAGAGGCCTCGCGCGCCACTGGCCCCCCGCCAAAAACGAAGTAGAGCAGGGGGAGAACGAGGAGTAGGAGGAGGAGGAGGAGGAGGAGGAGGAGGAGGAGGACCAGAGAGAACCTTGACGGGCTGCGACCTGAGCGCGTTCGGCCTGGCGTTCCCCGAGGTTCAAGAGCCTGCCCCGAACCTTTAATTCTGGGCCAAGAGGGCCCGTCGCGAGAGACCTCGCGCGCCACTGGCCCCTCCGCCAAGAACGAAGTAGAGCAGGGGGAGAACGAGGAGTAGGAGGAGGAGGAGGAGGAGGAGGAGGACCAGAGAGAACCCAGGATACATACGCGATGCTGCTATACGCCCTCCCGTCCCATGTCCCCTCCTCATAAGTTCATACAAGCATCCGTTTCACACCGTCCCATGGATGAGGAGGAGCAGGGGGAGAGGGGCAATGATGGAGCCTCCTCCTCCGTTTCCTGCATCCCCCCTCCTCCCCCCTCCCTCCCTCCCTCCTCCTCCTCCTCCTCCTCCTCCTCCTCCTGCTCCTCGTTCCGTCTCCATCTCGTCAAGGCTCGATCACAGATGCGACCGCGGGGGTCAGGGGTCCCACGCAAGGCGTGGAACACGCCTGTAGGTAAGGCTTTGAGCAGGGGCGGCCGAGCCATGTCGGCCACAATGGATACTGACGCTTCCAAGGTTCGGGCTGGTGGCTCGTCTGCTGCTCAGGGCTAGCGTGGCCCTCACTGGGGGAGATTCGTGCGCATTAGAGAGCAGTGGGGTGTTCGCTTGTAGGAGCGTGCTGAATCTCCGCCAGCGAGGGCCTCGGCAGCCGTCTGGCGCGAGCTCCAATCGCTGAAGGTGGCGGACAGCGAGGAAGAGGAGTACACGGAGACGGAGGCGGCGTCCTCCAGCGACGAGCAGCCACTCGTCCCGAGGGGGAAGGAGGGGAACCTTGAAGCCAAGGCTGAACGGCTCTCGCCGACTTCACCGCCAAAGGAGGACGCCGCGGGGGTCGAACAGCTTTCACTGGCAGAGGAGGAAGGATATGAGAAGCTCGAGCCTCCTGCATCGGCAGCGCCGTCAACCACTGAGAAGGCTGATCCAATGGTGAGTGCATGGGCAGCCTCAGGAGACCCACAGGAACGGTGGTCGGCCAGATCTGTCAGCGGACACCGGCATTGGCGGCGCATCCCGCGGCAGCTCCACCTGGACCAGAGGGCGCTGCTGGTGATGAAGAGCCCGCTGGACCACCAGGACAGGCAGCTCCACCTGGACCAGAGAGCGCTGATGGTGATGCAGAGCCCGCTGGAGTTCCACCAGGACAGCGCGCAGAGCAGGACGCTGCAGACTGGATAGCCCAGGCTATGCATGGAAACATCACCTTGGAGGACTCCTTGATGATCAAGGCGAAGGCGCTCGCGGAGAGGGACTCTGACGAGATCTCAACCCACCTGGGGTCGATCTGGAACTGCCCGACATCCTGCTGCTACACTGACACGGAGCCGACGGAGGCTGATATTCTGTCCGTTCAGCTCGACCCCGCCAACAATCCAGACGACAAGTATTGGCATGATCAGAAAACTAATGAATTCAAATTCTTGGCGAACGGAGCGAAAGGCAACCCTGCTGGGGGACGCTGGCAGCGCTACATCAACAAGAAGACCAAGGAGTCACAGGAGCTGACGAAGAAATACGACGAGCTGAAGGGCCAGCCGAGCAAGCAGCAAGCCTTCCGCGCGAAGTGGCTCGAGAAGAAGTTCTACGACTACGTCTGCGAGAGCAAGCTCCACAGGAAGTCGTTCCGTCGCTCGGAGTTCAGCGACCAGAGGTACATGTGCCACAACAAGATGATCACGGAGGAGGGCGGCGGGCACTAGGGCAAGCTCAACGCGACGAACTACGCGCTGATGTGCCTGGCAGTCGGCGCTCCCTGGCTCACGCACCCTCCTCCTCTTCCTTCTCCTCCTCCTCCTCCTCCTCCTCCACCTCCTCCTCCTCCTCCTCAACCTCCTCCTCCTCCTCCTCCTCCTCCACCTCCTCCTCCTCTCCACCTCCTCCTCCCCTCCTCCACCTCCTCCTCCTCCTCCTCCTCCTCCTCTTCCTCCTCCCCCCCCTTCTCCTCCTCCTCCTCCTCCTACTCCTCCTCCTCCTCCTCCTCCTCCTCCTCCTCCTCCTCCTCCTCCTCCTCCTCCTCCTCCTCCCCCCAACCGCCTCCTCGCCTCCATTGCAGGTGTAATGGTGCCCGTGGCGCAAGGACCTCCTGTACCTTTACGTCGTCGAGGGGGTGAAGGAAGAGTTCACTGAGGTGTGGGAGTACACGAAGGAGTGGGCGAAGACGAAGGTGCGAGGAAGGGGAGAGGGAGGAGGACGGGGAGGAAGGAGAAGAGATGAGGAGGAGGAGGAGGAGGAGGAGGAGGACGGCAGAGAGGAAGATGAGGAAGGTGAGGAGGAGGAGCAGGAGGAGGATGAGGAGGAGGAGCAGGAAGAGGAGGAGGAGGAGCAGGAGGAGAAGGAGGAGGAGGAGGAGCAGCAGCTAGGAGGAGGAGGAGGAAGAGGAGGAGGAACAACAACAACAACAACAACAACAACAACAACAATCATTTTACCCGAACGCTCAGTGTTCTCACCAGTGCCAGGGTTTTCATGCGACGCGAGACAATACCCCCACTTCGTGGGGGGGCAGTTCAAGCTCTACCAAATATCCAAACGACTCTTCGCGACCACCCAAACCCAGCTTCCCGCCCTATGACGTTGGGACACTTCACTTCGTGGCGTGCGGACGACCGTGGCTACTACACTGGCGTGGGGTACACACCCACAGAACTTGGTCACTTATTCGGGGCGCGCGTGTGCCCAGCATCCTGCAATTGTGACATACAATACATGACACAGACAGACAGAGAGAGAGACAGAGAGCAGACAGAGAGAGAGACAGAGAGAGCGGAGTTGGTCACATTTTTGGGGCAAGTTCCTGAGATCGTCGTGTTTTTTGTTGGTCTTGCGCGCGCGAATGTCCACTTTACTTTTCATTTTGCAAGGGATGTTGAAATTTGATTATGTAAGAACAAGAAAAGCTCGCGCGAGCTTATGTAACATAAATGTTGAAAAACCATTGGTTTTGTGGGAGTCGGACAGCGCGCGCGGGATGAAATTTGGACATTTTTTTTTGAAAAACCATTGGGTTTTTGATGTTTTTATGTTGAAATCGCTACGAAACCTAAGGTTCTGGAAGGATTTCGTCTTGCGCGCGCGAATGTCCACTTTACCTTATTTTTTGCAAGGGATTATTGAAATTTGATTATGTTAGAACAAGAAAAAGTAGCTCGCGCGAGCTCATGTAACATAAATGTTGAAAAACCATTGGTTTTGTGGGATTCGGACAGCGCGCGCGGAAGGACATTTTGACAATTTTTTCTTAAAAAACCATTGGGTTTTTGATGTTTTTATGTTAAAATCGTTACGAAACCTAAGGTTTTGGAAGGATTTCGTCTTGCGCGCACGAATGTCCACTTTACCTTATTTTTTGCAAGGGATTCTTGCAATTTGATCAAGTAAGAACAAGAATTTTCATTTTATAGTGTTTTTTGCAAGGGAAAACGAGCGTCAACAAAACAACCGGATCCGGTAACAATCGTTTTGCCTGAGACTTCCTCACGAAAATGATGAAAATGTGGCTGCGGCCTAGGCGCGGCGGGGGGGTCGCGCACCAGGGGTCCCAACAATAATTATTCTTAAGAAGAAATAATGTTCAACAACAACAACAACAACAACAACAGCAGCAGCAGCAACAACAACAACAACAACAACAACAACAACAACAACAACAACAACAACAACAATAACAACAACAACAACAACAACAACAACAACAACAACAACACCAACAACAACAACAACAACAACAACAAGAGGAGGAGGAGGAGAAGGATGAGGGAGGATGGGGATGAGGAAAAAGACGGAGGAAGGGAGGGTGATGATGGTGAGGAGGAGGGTTTGATCCTGAGAGTGCCCCGTGCAGGCCGCGGCCCCGCGCTTGCAGGGAGCGCCAGCTGCGCTGCGGCCAGCTGCGCTACCGCCTGCTGTGCAGGCGCCGACGCCTGCAGAGTCCGTCGCGCAGACGGCGGCGGCGGCGGCGGGCGCGGCCGCCACCGGGACGGCCGCCATCGCGGCCGAGGCTGAAGCAGACAAGCCAGATAAGAAGGTGAAGAAAGGTAAAACGCCCCCACCAGAGAAAGAGAAAGACGAGGAGAAAGAGAAATATAAGAAGGTGAAGAAAGAGAAAACACCGATGCAGAAAGCCCTGGCGGCCGCCAAGCTGACCAAGCAGAGCCGCAGCCTCGCAGATTCGGACGCCAAGATGCTGCTGGCCGAGATCAGCAAGGGCGAGGGGAAGTGGTCGTTCGCGAACTCGCCATCAGCTCTCCAGCCCCTGGTGGATGCCAGCGACAAGCTCGAGATGGCGGTGCGGAACAGCAAGGCGTTCGGCGTGATCATGACAACGGACTTCAACACGCTGCTGGCCGAGAGCGAAAAGAAGGACCAGATCGGCACCTTGCTGGCCAACCTGGAGAACTTCAGCTCGACGCTCGACCCGCTGATCGGCGACCTCGAGATGGAGCAGAGGCTGCTCATGGCCGCGGCGGCATCGCGCGAGAAGGAGCGCGAGCGCTTGCAGGAGCAGAAGGAGCGCGAACCATCAAATCAGCGGCCCACTCACTCTTGGTCTCTCTTGCCACGATCCGCCCTTCATTCCGAAGAGGGGCGGTTCCTGGTGGAGGGGCTAGGCGGAGAGTTGGCGCCTGCCTTGTTGGCGCCGCAGGACAAGAAGCGGAGCCTCGACTGCGCCAAGCCCGAGCGCAAGGGTAAGGCCAAGAAGCAGAAGGTCACGCAGTAGCGAGGTCTGGGTGGGCCTCGCAATAACGATGAGGAGGACGAGAACGAGGATGATGAGGAGGGCGACGAGGA